GAGATGCAACAAATGCAGCTTTATTATACAGAAAATATTTGTTTTCCAAATTTTATAGTCAAAAATGTTAAAAACTATCAACAAAAAAAACTAAGAGCAATTTTACCCTAAGCTCCCCCTAATTTACCCACGTAAGAAGATGATCAAAAACTGGGGTTTAGTCCAATAGATGAAGCGTTAAAAGGTAAGTATTTGTACCAAATTTCACCTAATTATCTTTAAACGTTTAGAAAATATTTACAAAAGTGTGGTATCTGGACTTCACCTTTAACACCCTGTATCTCGGAAAAGAAACGTTTTTGGACCTATGTTTATATGAACTTTTACTACTATTTTAGGATGTAGATTACGCTGTTAAAATATGACCGTCTAATTTCGGGACACCCTGTATATCATCTATAACTATCAATAAATAAAAAATATTTGAGTTGTTTGGTTTAAAAATAGTATTCCTATATTCCTATAATATTAACAAGCCACTAAACCCCCAGTAGGCGGCGATAGCCAACGAATTACTTCGCCAATTGATGGATATACCTGTGTTCATGTAATTATAATCAGACCTTACCCAATCCTATGATTATTCTTCAGCGCACGACAAACGACATTGCCAAATTTATGTAGCGAACAAGGTTCCAAATACTTTAAGGGGAGGTCGTTAGATCCATGCGGTGTGACGTCAGAAGGGACTGGATTGCTCTTAAAGGTAAATAATGTTTGGTAGAAAATATCTGAGATATAGTCAAACTTTCATATAAGTGTTTATAAAAGGTAATTTAACGTTAATTATAACTATTATTACAAATAACAAATTTTATTGCAAATTAACGTCAGATATATTACATAACTAAGGCTGGTAATGAATTATCATCATGTTTAATAAAAAACAAGTAAAATGTTTTTCTGCAAGAAACAGAGAAATAAAACATAACTATTATTAATATTATTATTATTATATTTATTAAAATTAAATAAATGGATTAAAGCTGATGATGATGATGATGATAATGGCTCTGGTTACTTTTTCGTCTGACCACCCTATATTTTACAATGAGTTAAACATAGAATTTCATATTTTTTTAATTTGTAGAATATTGCAATCACCTATAACAATTACGGCATATAATTTTGGATCATGTTTTATATTATCATAAATACAATAAAAATTAAAAAAATTATTTTAATTTCGTTACGAATAACACATAAATATTGGTTTGGAATGAAATTCGATTTCTTCCATTTTTATAATTTATATTAAACACCCGGCTGTTGTGTTTTTCATTCAAATAATCTTTTATGTAATCATCCAAATCTTCTTTAGGAATTTTCGGTAGTACTCCATTTACAGCGATCAATGAATCTAAAAATAAAAATAATTCAGGAATAAATAAACTGATTTTATTAGTATAGTAGTGAATTAATATGGACTTTAGTAGTAATTAGACTAAGAATGTATGCTATTTAAGCTATCTATCACTTTCTAATAATTTCTTGATAATAATTGTAAATCCTTTGTTATAATTCCATCTCAAAGGATATATTTACCATAAACGTATTTAAAACAAGACTACAAAGAATATTTACAAGACCTAGAATATCTCGAAGGATAACACCTAGCAGAAGGACAAAAGGTAGCAATACTAGACAGAAATAACAATTATGATAAGTTAAATAACTTAGGGCTCAAACCATCAAGTTTATAACCTCTTCGTAGATTTAATTCAAATTAAATAATATAACAGCCTAGAAAAATCCTTATAATTATGACAGTCTTGGATAATTTGAGATGAGATTCCTAATAGATTTAAAATATACACAATAGATTTTGATTAGTCGCAATGAAGTGAAAACGAACAATCAACATAGAATATACCTACTATCAAATTCTTCCTCCGAAGAATATTCATAAGATTCAGTTTCAACATTGAAAACGTAATTTTCGAAGTTAGCTGCTTCCAAATCACGTTCGTATTCTTTTCGTGGATCTTGGCTGTAATAGTAGGTGGAGATCATCTCTTCGTGATCATATTTGTTCCATTTGGGGTACTTTGTCATTCTGAGGACTATATCACCGATTGGAGTTCGTTCGAAGAACGTAACAAACATTGAACCGCCTGGTTTAAGCATTGCATAGATATTTTTGAACGCATTCCTGAAACATAAATGTTTTTAACTGTAGAAGGGTATCCAATTATTGCTCTAATGTGGTCTTAAAAATTAAGACAATTACTTGAAATCAATCCCACAATCAAAAGTATTAACATAAAGTTATATATTTATTTTTGGTGTAATTCTTTGTTAATATATTTTTTTTATTGTAATATTAAAACATGTTGAATAGGTTGTTTTGTTGAATACACTTGAATGCAATCAAAAATTGTATTCTTTAGTGTACTGTATTTTTAACAATTATGTATCTACCTTATTTTTTTTGATCTAGTGTATTATTCAGTAAGAAATCTTTAATATTTACAGAACCGGATTCGCTTTAGAATAAAAAATTGTGAATTATTTATTAATAAATAATTAAACTAATTAAAAGAAACGTACGTACAATTACTAGAGTAGATTTTCAAAATGGACACCTTGCATGTCAGTACACTTCTGAGAACGTTCTAGGTTTTTCACTGATTTGTCAATCATTCCTGCATGAATTATTTCTAATTTTGTCACCTATATTAAAAAATTTGTTCATTAACTGTACCCGGGTATTAATTTCCTCGTTGTACACTGATTTAATGTGACCCCATAAAAACTTTTCCAAAGGTGTAAGATCTAAAGATCTCAGTGATTAGTTAAGGGGAGCGCCTCTTATCCATCTAATAGAAAAATGTTGATATGAATAGTCTCTAAGCGGTATAGGAAAATGGGGTCCAGCACCATCTCCCAGAAAATTTATATAATAAATAAAAATGCATTATTTATGTAAATTTGTATAGTAAGCTTGTCTCATAATAACAATTTATTTTCGATATTTTATGCTATGATCAATTACTTTTAGTCATAAGTATACGTTTTTAATGGTATGAAAGAAGTATTTCAAGATGCATTTAATATTTAGTCATGTTTCTCTAATTTCACATCGTTTTTGTTTTATGTCTCTATCTTCTTGCATTTTGAAAACATAACTACAAATTGCTTTCATTTGACATCGCAGGATTGCATAATAAAAATTCTAACATCCAATTTAACCTCTTCCCCCCTCCCCAACTGACTTAAAAGACAAAGTATTTTGGTTTTTAGTTAACGCCTACTCTGGGCCACTTATTACTTCAAATTTCAATTGTAAAACGACTGTGATAGACGGACAGACAGAGAGATAAGTGTTTCTTATTGCCAAATTTAGGTACTAATGCGCAAATTACTTTAAAAATTCTTTATTTTTGTCTTACATATTTAACCGTTTTTTCATGTTTCGTCTTTTTCGAGTTTAAATTTGATATTGTTTTATCACGAGAGAAACGAGACGAAACGAGACGAGACGAGACGAGACGAGACGAGACGAGACGAGACGAGACGAGACGAGACGAGACGAGACGAGACGAGACGAGACGAGACGAGACGAGACGAGACGAGACGAGACGAGACGAGACGAGACGAGACGAGACGAGACGAGACGAGACGAGACGAGACGAGACGAGACGAGACGAGACGAGACGAGACGAGACGAGACGAGACGAGACGAGACGAGACGAGACGAGACGAGACGAGACGAGACGAGACGAGACGAGACGAGACGAGACGAGACGAGACGAGACGAGACGAGACGAGACGAGACGAGACGAGACGAGACGAGACGAGACGAGACGAGACGAGACGAGACGAGACGAGACGAGACGAGACGAGACGAGACGAGACGAGACGAGACGAGACGAGACGAGACGAGACGAGACGAGACGAGACGAGACGAGACGAGACGAGACGAGACGAGACGAGACGAGACGAGACGAGACGAGACGAGACGAGACGAGACGAGACGAGACGAGACGAGACGAGACGAGACGAGACGAGACGAGACGAGACGAGACGAGACGAGACGAGACGAGACGAGACGAGACGAGACGAGACGAGACGAGACGAGACGAGACGAGACGAGACGAGACGAGACGAGACGAGACGAGACGAGACGAGACGAGACGAGACGAGACGAGACGAGACGAGACGAGACGAGACGAGACGAGACGAGACGAGACGAGACGAGACGAGACGAGACGAGACGAGACGAGACGAGACGAGACGAGACGAGACGAGACGAGACGAGACGAGACGAGACGAGACGAGACGAGACGAGACGAGACGAGACGAGACGAGACGAGACGAGACGAGACGAGACGAGACGAGACGAGACGAGACGAGACGAGACGAGACGAGACGAGACGAGACGAGACGAGACGAGACGAGACGAGACGAGACGAGACGAGACGAGACGAGACGAGACGAGACGAGACGAGACGAGACGAGACGAGACGAGACGAGACGAGACGAGACGAGACGAGACGAGACGAGACGAGACGAGACGAGACGAGACGAGACGAGACGAGACGAGACGAGACGAGACGAGACGAGACGAGACGAGACGAGACGAGACGAGACGAGACGAGACGAGACGAGACGAGACGAGACGAGACGAGACGAGACGAGACGAGACGAGACGAGACGAGACGAGACGAGACGAGACGAGACGAGACGAGACGAGACGAGACGAGACGAGACGAGACGAGACGAGACGAGACGAGACGAGACGAGACGAGACGAGACGAGACGAGACGAGACGAGACGAGACGAGACGAGACGAGACGAGAGAAAGGCTCTCTCGAGCGAGAGAAGCGCCTTCTCGTCGAGACGAGAGAACAGTTTTCTCTCACACTACGAGACGAGAGAGGCCACTCTGAAAATGAATTTGTTCCATACTTTACGGACACACTGTATAAAACGTTATTGTATTCGAACCTTTTAATGTTCTAAAAGAGGGGCACCAAAAAACAGGCTGTTCCAGCTGTCTTAGTCGTAAGCGCTATGAATTATATGATGAAACAGTTCAGTAAAGACAACAAAAGCAGATTCATGTTTATATATTTGTTTTAGGCTATACTGTTTGAATCGGGACGGTGGTCTAGCGGTCTATCGTGCTTATATTCATTTATAGGCAAGTTTATGAGTCTGAGACTGCTGGGTTTCGAATCCCAGACCGGACCATGTGGATTTTTAATTAAATTGCATGGTTCGGTTTAGGATTTGATGTGTGGCGTATTAATAGAAATTCAATTTCTGTTGATATGACATGCAGATTAAAAAAATTCGCCATACATTACCGTCTCGATGATGGTGGGTGAGGTTTTCCGGGTTTTCCTCACCTGTAAGTCAAATGGCACCATCAATCATCTTTAAGTCGCCCCGGAGCGCCACGGCAAATAATAATATCCGTCCCTTCCCCTACACAAGTCGTTCAGTCGACTTCAGGGGTTGAAATTCACTCGTAAGGGGGTGAATTAGGGAGAGTATTATTATTATTAATAATATATTGAACTTATTTATTATAAATTACTTTGATTTCAGTTGGAAGTTTAAATAAAAAGTTGTTTTACAACGTTTAATTATTGCATAATAATAATAATTGTTACATATAATGTTTCATTATTTTATATAAAGATCACGTCTATTTCTTTTTTCCAAATATGTGGAATTAATACGTAATAAAAGATTATTTGATGCGCATACAAACGTTTATTGAATCACTTGAAAATACGTAAAATAGTAACAATAAGGAAATGGGAAAATAAAACCGTTGCAATATTACGTATAATATAATTTTTTATTCAAAATTAACCGATATTTCATCTATTTTATGTTAGAAACTATATCAAATTCAACGTTTGATTTTAATATTATCTTAAAACGTTACAAAAATACGTGTGCTCTTTATTGGGTACTTCATTATATTCAATTTCAATAAATTATATTTTATAAAAATTACAAAAGATATTCATCATTGTCTGTATTCTTAAGAGGAGTATTTACTTGGATGTAGCGCGGAGCATGCAAGGGTTTCGTAGTACCATTTAAAGTTTATTTTTGACTTTTTCTAAAAGAAAAAATATGTACGTGTAGGTAAAGCTTAAATCTATGCTCCTTTGAAGACACTTTTTTAAAATTTGTTTCAGTTTTTTATAAAAAAAAAACATACAAAACTCGACTTTTTTACCCATTTTCTCATTTTTTTTTTAGAAAAAACTAAATTGAATTTTGAAAAAGCGGTTCCAGAGGAGCATAAATTTAACCTTTTCCTACGCGTACATATTTTTTTTGATTTAAAAATAGTCAAAAATAAACTTTAAAAGTGGGGTATTACGAATTCCTTACATTGCAAGATTTTTCTTCTGGAAAGTGGCGCCTCTGTTAGATTTATAAGAAATGAATATTTGTGAATGAAAACAATTTATAATATATTTTACTGATGTTTTACGAGGGATAAATAAATTTTACGTATTTGTACACCTTATTTTTTACGTAAATCATTTCTGTAATACTAAAATTGACATATATATTATATGCAAGGGTTTCATTCATAGTACACCAATTTTACGGATTACTTTTTATTTTTACTAAAAGAAATTTTATGTAAGTACAGTTACAGGCTAAACCCGCACCTCTCTGGAGCCACTTCAAAAATTTTAATGTCTCTTTTGAAAAAATCTAAGAAAAAAAAAAGAAAGAAATAGAAATGTTAAAAAATGCTAGAAGGGAACAATATATTTAATTTTTGCCTACAGGAGCATTTATTTTTCTCACAATAAAAAAAGAAATACGTTAAAAGCTTTTTCGTCTAGAAGGTGACACCAACAAAATATATATCGTTCTCTACTATTTGGTGATAAACAGTACGTAAGTGATTTGAATTCATTTTATTTTTTACATACAGTAATTTCGCTCAATTACATTAAATTAATTTTATCACTTATTTATTAAAAATAATTATCCGAAATTAAAAGGTATACACTGAGGTGTGAATTATAAATATGTTTTTGTTTAACTTTTGTATCGCACGGATTTTTTTTGTTTAATGAATACCTCTTCGAGTTAACAATAATTATTAATTCCAGCATGTCAAGAGGAGTATTTACTTGGCTGTAGAGCAGAGCATACAAGGGCTAAGAAAAAAATATGTGCGTGTAGGCAAAGGTCAAAATTTCAAACTGTTTTTTCTAAAAAAAAAAACACAAAACTCGCCTTTTTTTACCCATTTTCTCAAATTATGTGATATAGAAGAGAATGTATTGCTAAACTATGGACGCTTTTCTACTTTTGGACAATCAATTATTATTAGTAGAGTGTATGTATTAAAATATTCGCTTTGTCATAAGCTGAATTTTTCAGAGATGAAATATCATGATAAGGTGACCCTTATTCTGGAATAATACAAAATTGGACTGTGTAGAAGGGCACTATCATCAAAAATCCAGATATTAATACCGCCAAATAAAAAAAAATACTTATTTTTGGTCCAATGCACAATAAAATATATATATAATTATTAAAAAAAATCAGTTCTTCAAAAATTTAATTTTTTTAAATATAATTTTAACATTTAACAAAAAGGAAGGCCTTAATGAAAAACGTAGTATAGCTCTGTTTCTCTCACATTATTGATATGCTAAATTTTTTTTCATTTTTTAATATAAAACTTCTCGTTAGGTGCCAATGGACAATGTGTCATATTGTCTGTTTTTACTAAAAAATTAATACGTGTGTTACATATTAAAGTTCCTAATAAATTGGGAAGAAATATAGACATTTTTGCGTTTTTATTATATCTGCATTCATCCTGTTATAGCTGAATGCCTGAATATATTTGGGTAAGTTGGGTAAGGTTTCGTTAAACATTTTAATTACGGATTTGTTGTTACAAGAAGCAAAGAAAATGATATCAAAATATGACTTCTCAATCCTTGCATGGTCAACAGTTACTTCACAATATTTTATTAGCAAAGGATGTGGACAGAAGCATTAATAATGCCGAAATATTTAAGTTTGAGCTGACAGCCTCTCCGATGTCCTAACAGTAAATAGGTATCGCGGCGCCTCTACAAATAAGAGTTTAATGAGAAATATTTTAGATCAATATGACATTACCCACAAAGACTTAAGTGCACCTATTGACACTGGCAAAACTTGTCACATTTTTGAAGGGATAGCAATAGTTCAAGGTTTGGGAAAGTCCAAAAGTTGCATATCATTTAAAGAATATGCTAATATATTTGTTAACATTACTTTTAGAAATAAATTTAATGCTCAAAGGTTAGATGTGGTATTTAATCATAATAAAGAAAATTCTATCAAAAATACAATAGGTCAAAAGAGAGGATCTCAGAAGTCAATTAATATAGAAATTGACAGACCCAATATTCCCATTCCGAAATAATGGAACTTGTTCATCCATTCGATATTTAACAAAAGACTTTTAACACATTTTCTGTAAGAGCAACTTCTTGAAAACTCCATTCAGCAAAAGACTATTCAATTTTAACTAGTGGTGGATTCGCGAATATCAATAAATATGCGACGAATTTTGAACTATCAAAAAACGATTTCCTGAATTCAAATCACGAAGAAGCTTATACTCGTATCTTATTGCACATATTATCAGCCAAAAATTCGGGGAATTCACGCTGCATTATTGATTGCAACGATACAGATCTTCTACTCTTATTAATTTATTTTAAGTAGTGTTAAACCAAAAAGATATGGTTCAGAATAGGGCAAGGAGACTCATGACGATTTATAGCAGTACATGATTTAAATTTGGATTAAAAACTTCTAAAAATGTGCCTGATTTTCATTCTGTGACAGGTCGTGATACAACTAGCCAAATGTCTGACATTGAAAAAAGAACCTGTTAGAAAATCTACCTTCAACACTATCACCTTTTGGATGGATTTGGCACTGATTCGTAGGTACTCAGAAAGCACATTCTCTAATCTTGAAATATTTTTCATAAAACTTTATTCAAAACTGCCAATGTTACTTCCATTAACATTTTGAAGGGATTAATGGTCTCTTCAAAATAATTGCTAAATTGCCATCGACTGAAGACGCTCGACCTGCCACCAGACATAACAGAACTTATCATGCAAATGCAAAAAAGTTACTATACACCGATAATTTTCATACATGTACAATATTTTAACAATATTATTGTTCTAGACCGTGAAAGCAAAATTTGCAAATGCAGAAAAAGATATTGGCTGCATCGGTTCCTGCACCTGTATGGCACAGAAAAACTGCAGAAATTGACCATAGCCGCTCATGTTTTGGAAAATGTTGATTCGTGTGGTGAATCTAATTTTGATTAGTTTGCAAGTCTTGTACTTATATATTTTAATATTTTTAATTTATGCTTTATATTCTTTTAATTATTATTATTTTTTATTAGGAATTTATTGTATTCTGCAAAGCAATAGCCTTACTGTTTATAACCTATACTTATATATACCTACTGTACTTATACCTTCCATAAATAGTCTATATTTTCTTATTTTTTTATTTTCCTCAAAAAAATCATGAAGTAATACACCCTATAATAATTATTCACCTTCATAGCGGATAAATCAATAATCCCTGTATAAAATAATGTAAGAGAGTCAAACAGATTGCATACATTTCAGCGCTGAGAGAGATGCATGGAGTCGAGAGACTGCTTCCTTTCCTGTAAAACCATGAGATCAGTAATTGTTTATTCCTATATTTTTGTTAATTTAATAGCAAAAAATATGGGGAAAGCACTATTACCTTGTCAATACATAGGCGAAACTTTTATGAAGAATATTTTTTTTCGTTTAGGCCTTCGTTTTTCGTCAAATGAAAGGTATATTTCTAAAAGAAGATTTTTAAGCAAATTTGTCGACAGCCAAAATAAGTTTTATTATATTGTAAAATACATATTATTATATTGTGCTATTGTGGAATATTTTTCGTTTCTTTTGTCTCAACTTCGCGGTTTAGAGTTTAGAATATGTATCCCTCGTATCTACATGCAATTGTTAAAATTATGAATGAATGTTGATTTTATTTAGTCTCGGAACTAATTTTGTAGTATTTGTAGTTGTAATTTGTATACCTACTAAACTACCGCTGCCCCGCAGGTCTTTCAGTTTGTAATGTAAATTTTCCTCTTAAGGGTGGCCAGGGTGGGAAATAGAAAATTTTAAAACTTTATCGGCCTAGTAAATTTGAATAAACGTTCTTGTAAACTGCTATAAATGTATGTATTGTTGCAAAAATATGCTAATAAACAACATGAATTATTGCCATGGCGATGTTGACATGGTAAGTAAAATTTTTAACTTACCTTGGTTTATTCACACGATGAATAGAATTAAAAGAAAACACATGATCGAACCGATTTTGAAACTCTGCAGGAATCTTTGATGTAATATCCATTTGTAAGAATGTCGATCTAGTAATTAAGCACTGTTTTTTGGCATCTTCGATCATTTCTGATGAAAGATCTGTACCAAAAAATTCTTTATAATCATTCGGCAGTAGAGGCACTAAACTTCGACAGGAATTATATCCGTTGGCAAATCCGAATTCTAAAATCGATTCTTGTTTCTTCCAGTTTAGTAGATGACTGTATTTTTTCAAATGAGCAATAGCTACTAGCAACGAAAAATTGCTGCTTTTTGACCAAAGTTCTGGCAGTACCATAACAGACATTTTTTTACTGATTTCTGTAGCTTAACCGAAAATAATCTTGTTATCTAAAAATTATAAATTATGTAAATGTACAGCACGTGATGACCTTCTATTGACAAATTTTTAAATAGTTGAAATAATTAATTTGATACCTAATCAATAGGAAAGAAAAATACTGTCGTCACAAATGATTTACTTATCTACCGACCGCATTTCTCCTAGAAATAAAATTACCAGTCAATCACCAATAATATTAACAAGATACATGTTCTTTATGTGGCGCCTAAATATTGGAACAGTACAAATTTTTATGCGCCTTTAATTTTAATTTTTATTTATCTTTGTCGGCTTATAATAATATTTACCCAAATTTTATCACATTTGCGCATTTCCTAGCCATTCTAGTTACGCTTCTGCTTCTCTTTTGAAGGAAAAGTGAGTTAACTGAAATTAATTAGGTATTTTAATAACAAAATTTGGTTCAAAACGATCAACTCAAAATTTTTTTTAATTCCGGATATCCATTAATTACGTAAGCTTAAAATAGACGAAAAGGGGTATGGCAAAATCTCACAAAATGTCATTTAAAGGGCAGTGCCGGTTTAAGGTACTTTTGCGCCCGGTGCTACTTGTAATCGCCGCCCTATCTATAAATAATTTATACATCTTCGATTACTGAATTTATATATTATTTAAAAAAAAACAAAATTACAAAATTCAAAAGTATTATATTTATAACGTCACATCAATAAACCACAATTATTATAATGGTCAGAAACAGCTATAAAACTAGTACGCAAACACAAATAATAAAATAAAACAAACAAAAATAATAAAATAAAACAAACAAAAATGACAAAAATAAGATCAAAGAAAAATGGAATGAAAACAAAATACCAGTCTAAAACATAAGTTGCCATTCTTGTTTTCTACAATATTATCTTAATAAGGACTATCACTAATACATTAAGGAACTGTTGAAACTAAGTAAAAATAAACTATAAAAATAATAAACAAATAACGAAAAATAATATTGCTAATGCCCATATTCTAAAATATTGACATGTTATGTTTAATACAAAATTTTGACAATCATTCAATTGACACGTTTCATGTTGCGCACTTTATTAGCTACCACGCAGATAGAAAAGTTGGGCGTCTCGTCGAAATGAACCTACTCACGAAGATTCATAAAAATGGGTTGTGTACTGAGGATTAACATGTTAGAATTAAACTATAAAAATACAACAGGGAGTTTTATTTACTTTTACTAAAGTTGCTTTCTCTCTTTTAAATTTAAAATGTTTGAATTATTTCGTTAGTATCTAATGTTTTTAAAACATCTGAATTTATTGATAATACTGCTAAAGAATTCAACTTTTCTTGTGCAATTGAATTGCGAAGATACGTTTTCACCCGTTTTAGAGTAGAAAATGTACGCTCCCCACTGACATTCGTTACCATTCTATAAAAAAAAAAAAATAGGAGGCATAAATTTAAATTTGGAAATGAAGACGTAAGCTTATTTTTATGTAACAATTTTACTAAATCTTGGGGAAATTCAACTTTAATTTCATCGTTTAGTTCATTTAGGAATTTTTTGAAATGAATGCATTCTTGAGGAAAATGCCCGTCTAAGTCTTCCATATATGTCTCTTTTAATTTTTGTGCATTGAATACTATACCTTCGTCACTTAATTTTTTTAAATTAAACAAAAATTTGAAAAGAGCTGAACATGTTTTGTACACTTCGGATCTATGAATAAATTCTGTTTAAAGATTGTCAAGGATTGGAAGGTAAATCTGCGATCTCATTTTCTCTCTAGGATCCAAAATAACTTCTGTATATGGTTCCCAAAAAAGACTCTTTCTTTTAGTGCTTCGCCGTTCTGTGTATTTTTCGTTGCCAGTTAAAGCTATTCCTTTGGCTTCATATTGATCAAACTCATTTCTTAAATATTGAAAGTGTTGGGCCAATGAAGATAAAAGGTTAGAGTAGTACTTATATCCATATTCTCTTGTTGTAAAGCCTTATTTACATCATTAGTTTGGTGTAAAATATCCAACCAAAATGTTAAAAGAATGCAATTTTCAAGAAGATCTAATGTCTCGGCAAAAGAAGCCGCTTCAACTCTCACAACACTTTTTTCTTCTCTATTTTGAAATATTTGCTCTATTTTTATTAATGCGTAACTATGTCCTAGGGCTTTAATGGCATCAAATCGTGATGACCATCGCGTAGTGTTAACTCTCGTTTTTCGTTTTCTGAAACTTTTATAAACTGACATAATAAGTTCCATTTGTATGAAGATGCCGCAAAAAAGGTGTACATTTCTTATACCATCATAAAGAACGCCGTAGATTCCAAATAGCAGTCTGCTGCATTTTGCACAACTCAATTTAGCGAATGTGCTAAATTGTTTTGTGCCTTAATACGAGCCTGTAACTCAGAGTATTTTCCGCTCATGTTGCTCGCATTATCGTATGACTGACCCCTATAGTCTTTTAAAGGTATTTCCATTGATTTCAAAATATTCAGGACGGTATTTTCGAGTTCTTTCGCACCATGTCTAACGTTTTCTTAAAACCCCACAAACCGCTCAACTAGTAATCCATTACTATAACAAAATCGTAATAAGCTGGTCATGGTGGGTTATGTCTGGCGTAGAATCCACGCTAACTGAATAATACTTATTAACTTTAATTTGTTTCACTATTTCTTTCAAAACTTTATTTGATAAAATCCCTATAAACTCATCGCAAATATCTTTTGATAAATAAGAAACAGTGCCCTTTCCACGATTTGCAAGTCTTCGTAAATGATCTTTTAAAAAAGGATCATATTCAGACAAAAGTTCAATCGCACCCAAATAATTGTCGTTATGATCTTCGCCTATATTTTCATAACTACCTCTAAATGCTAACTCCCGTGTTGCTAAAAATTTTAAAACGCTAACAATTCTTTTTAATACGTTAATCCAATACTCCTTTGCTACGTTACATTCTTTCTCAAGTTTATTATCAATTCATTCAGTAGTAAAAGAGCGGGCTATATATATCTTTAGATTGTTTAAATGCTCGGATGATCTTTCACGTTCATCAAACCTTTCTTTATGCCTATTCCAGGATGAAAAACCTCTTTTAAACTGGTTGACTGACCCACCAAATAACATACAATAAAGGCAGTACACATTACCTGTGCTTTCAGAATATATTGCCCAATCTCGACGTAAAATTTCTCCATTCTCTAACTTTCTGTAGAACATTTGTTTATTTGCCCACCTGTTTTGTCCTTTAAATGGCCTATTGGATTTGGAAAAATTACTTTGTTCTAAATTCTGACCTTTCCAAGACTCTAGAATTATTTCAATATCTCGACCAGTGTTCCATGGGGCTGGATTTTTAAAATCTGGTAAAATTATTTCTTACTAGTGCTCTGCCTGCACACCGCCCTATTACGATTTGTCGCCCGGTACTAAAGTCACAAATAGAACCCATGTAAAACCGGCACTGTTAAAGGGGGAGAAAGAAAAATGAAAATCTCACGTTAACCTTTTAATTCAGAGAACATACATTGTGACAGATAACTTATCAAATCTCACAAAGGAGGATGGGTGATTCAAACTAAAAAAAAGAGACTATACAGTGAAACGATCCAGCAGGCATTGCTTTACTTTGCCCCCCCCCCCCCCCCCTCCACTTTTTTAAGCCACGCCCCTTTTACAAACTGCGCAGACTCTATCATGTCAGCTGTCAACTGTCATGTCAGCTGTCAATCTGTCAACCCAGTGTTGCCAACTATCAATCTGTCAGCTGTCAATCTGTCAAATGTCAATCTAGTGTTGCCAATTTTTTGTACATATCAAGGTCTTGACGTCACGTGTCATGACGTCACTAGCCAACTGTTGCTAACCTAACCTTACTCGACCTTGTTGTCAGCCTGCTACATCTGCCGCTAGATGGAGTCACTTATTAATTAATTTATTAATCTGCAACTTACTATACATCATTATCACAGCAACTCAACATACAGCATTAATTATTTTATTTATTAAAGAAAAAAAAGTTAAAACCGCGGGGGATCGATCCACTGACCCAGAGAGGTTTGCCGATTACCAGTCGGCGCTGTAGACCACTCAACCACGAGGTCATTTAAGAAATTCTTACTTTATAATGTATACATAAAAAAAGAGATAACGCTGGTAAAAGACATCGGTTGTTATTATTGGTTTGATTCAAACAGTACAAACAGCACTACTAGAAAGGAGATGTGACGTAGATTAACGTTGAAGAGAAAAAACATGCCAGAAGGACCTTAGCATGTATCTTCACTGCTATTGGTCCAATTCAAACGAGAAAAACGGAATTACGTAGAGAACGTGGTATAGATTAACATCTAATAGAAAAATCATGCGCAGAATGAAAAGCCACAAGGGCCTTAGCATGTTTCTCGGATACTACTAGTCCGATTCAAACGGGAAAAATGGAATTCTACGTGAGACGTCGTAAAGTTACCATTCGATAGTACACATGCGCTGTGGTAATGCCAAAAGGATCTAAGCATATATCTCAGCTATTATTGGTCCGATTCAAACGGGAAAAACGGAATTATGTAGATAACTTTATAGGATAACTTTTAGCCCAAAACAATTTTGCGCGAAACAAATAAGCTGTGACAAATTTGCGCCAAGACAAATACATGAGAGACAAGTTACCGTCTGATATAAATAAAGTAAGACAAATTAACACATGGTTAAATTATAGTTAGCCAAGTTAGAGATTTCCTGAAAAGTGCGAGACAAATCATCTCGTGACAAAATAATCCAGTATTTTAATTAAAATAAAAATCTCCTCAAGCCATCGCGGGTTGCCGTATATAGGTCTAGTCCGCATAGCAGGTTAGGTAAAATAATTTTTTTTTATTTTTCTCATTTTTATCTATATTTTTTTTGAAGCATCTCACGATTGTTCCACGCCTAGGTTAGGTAAATTAGTAAATTTTTTATTGCACTGCTGGGTTA